ATTAGTCTGAGGGATCATTATAGATGTTTACATCCCTTACCATACATATATTTCTGTATGATACAGGCTGTACTTTATTTGCTCTTAGTCTAATTATGTCTTGGAGAATGGTTGTCATATGGAACATTTATCCCTGTCTTTCACTAACTTTCCTTGAAGCACCACTATCACAATGCAAAGCTTAGAGATAATGTACCTTGCAATGGCTTATGTATAAAAACTAGTGCATGAGCTTGATATTAATTAAACATATAAGCTTCCAACTCAAATCTTCAGTCAAGACTGCTGTTTATATAGCAGGAATGATGCTAAAATAAAAAAGCTTTGCATTGATAAGCAATATAGACAGAAGCCTTACATTCATTTGTAAGGCTGTCCTATTTTAAGTTTCTTGTTTTTGTAGAATACAAAACTTTTCACATCCAGTAAAATAATAGTTTATTTGTTTTTTTGAGTTACAAAACATCTTTTTCAAATCACATTGATAGGTATATAGCAATGACAAAATACAGTCATGTAAGTTTAACGTTCCAGGTGTTGAATGAATGTTCCATGGATGTTTTCTATTTATGTAAGCTTTTAGAAATGTTACCTAGAAGAGGCAGCCAGAAACTGGAATTTTATTACCATGTGAGTTTGGGAGCTGGTACAATGAAAGGCTCAGATGCTCTTGACCATTGTGGTTCCAGCCTGCATGGCCTTGGAGCTTGATCAATACCCAGACTGAAGGACAGACCAGATGGGGCCTTTTGGTCCATGGTGTATCTTTTAGCCTTAGCTTCACCTTCTGTGCTGGTGCCAAAGGTTGTAGTGGGAGTGTCCTTGGAATGAAGCACATCACACATTCAGGAACAGGCAGCCTAGGTGGAAGAGGCCCTGTCAGGATGGGGCATCCATGCCAAAATGGTTCTGCATGCTTTGTCTCACAACACGACTGCGGGCTGCATATTTACTTCTGCTTCTTGTTACTGAGTCAAAAACTTAAGAACATTCTACTTTTTTTGTGTGTGTACAGTGTAATCAGTAAACCTCATTTATATTAAGCATGTAGTCCAAGCTTTTTCATGGCCATGAATTGACTCCAGATGGAGTCAAATTGAATAAAAAAATTGTGCTTAAGGAAATGTTTTTAGGATTCTTTTTTAGACAATACTTTGCTGCTGTGTTGCTGTGACATCAGTATTCATCAGTGAAGAGCTGTGTGATTGCTTTAATGGATATTTTATAGCCTCTTAAATTCCAGGGGGGGATTTCCTAGACTGTAGTCAAGGACTGTGGTATTCCAAAGGGATATATATGTCATTTTCAATCTAACAATGCCTAGTCTTAATGTGGGAACATATTTCTTTCTGAGGAAGAATACAGTATATGCACAGATCTGCCAAAAATAATTGCTTCCTCCCCATGCTGAGCTGCCGATATCAATAAATAAAGTGTGTATGGTATAAATCTTATTATTATCAAGAATTTTCATGTATTGTGATTAGTTTCGGGGTTTTTTTTGTTTTGTTTGGGTTTTGGGGTGGTTTATTTTAGTTCTTTTTTAAAATACCATCTTTACATTTACAGTTAGCAAGAAGGTGGTTTCATGTCTTCTTTGATATGTTTTGAATAAGGTGCAAAGAGAGGATAAATAATAAGAGTAATTGTCAGTATTATAAGTATTTAAGTGCCAAATTTAAGAACTTAAAAGGTGCTTGCTGGATAACTGAAGCAAGGTTGATTCACAGATGTAACAAGTTTCTCTGTGATTTGCTGCAAGGTCTTGTGAGACCCATGTGACAGGCAGAATTTCATTACAAAGTAGTTGTGGAGAGTTGACACTCTTTGAAGCAGAAACTATATGTAGATGCACTTGAGCCCAAATGAAGTTTTTGAGAAATAAATCAAGAAGAAGTAGGGCTTCAGGTTTGGTTCTATTGTGTTTTTTGGTTTTGATTTTGTTTTTTGGTTGTTTTATTTCTGGGGGGAGGTTCTTAGAAAAAAAGATACTTTTTTCCCCCAAAGGCCAAATTATTAAACATCAGATGGTTAAGTAACATACACATACACTGAAGTAGGGTATAATCAATAAAAATGTCTCAATATCTTGATCACTGTTTATGTCTTTTGGGTGGTTTTTTGTGTTCTCAAAGAGCATCAGTGTTCTGCATCAGGAACTGCTGTCTGGTCTTCAACTTCCTCTGTTTCAGTGTGTATGAGAGTAGTAAGGCTTTGTCAGATAATTAGAAAATTAAAGCAATTCTCTAAACTCCTGCTTAGTCCAGATTTTCTTTCAAAATAAATGTCAAAGTCTTGGTGCTGTGGCATCAGCAACATGTGCAAGAGGGTGAGGAAGTCATGCTGCTGAATTTCTTCAAAGGCAAAGACTTCTGTTGAATTTGCTGTTAGCAGGAAGGCCTTGCAAAAGCTGGAGGACTTGTTCCGCTCTGCACCCATATTCATCAACAGCACAGACTGTTCTGCAGGTTTTGTAATGATGGTTGAGCTTTTCTGTTCTGGTGACTTAAGGAGTGATGGGAGATGGAAAGTCAAGGGTTTGCATCAGACTAGTGGTGATCATAGCGTTACAAGAAACTGACGTGCACCTTCCACTTGTTGTGGACATCCGTAAAATACGTACTTAGTTGGAAAATCTTGAAGAATTCAAGAAGTTCATAAGATGATTCCCAGTATGCAATAACAAACCGGCTTACTCCCTGCAGTGAAATTTGTGATTTGGAAGAGGGGAAAAAAGAAAAAAAATCCTTCCTGTTGTGTTGGGTAGCTGCAAACAAACATGAATTTGTTCTCCTTTCAAAGTTTGTAAACTTGTAAGGATATTTCCTGAAGAGTGCATATCACTGGTGGCTAGATGGTCTTTTTCCAAAGTGTGGTACATGACCCAGGGGTGTTGCTGTGCAGCAAAACCAGCGTGGCAAAGTTGGGCATCATCTAAAATGGCTTACTACTAAACAGCCAGACAAGACTGCTTAGTTGGTATCCAGTGAACTAGCTGTATGAAATTAAGAAAGAGAGAACATTGGAGTGGTAATGGATATACTGATGACGTGTGGAAGTTAATGCAATTTCATCAACTTCTTACATTATATTAAGATTTGTATGCACAATATTTAATTTAAAGCTGACACTTCTGGATACCATCTGGAGACGAGTCATTCTGTGAGATCTTCAGTTTTTGCCTTAAATAATTCAGTTTCTTACCATTGTGGATCAGGAGAAAAAGCATGCAAGAGTGACTTAAGTATGTGTTAAAAGTTTAAAGATGGGCTTTTAAAAATACAATTTTTGGACCAGTCACTTTACTGTTTGGCAAGCTTGACTTTTTTTAACATTTGACGTTGGTGACAAACATTAGGTCTCAGTATATAGGTTAATGCTGGTTTCGTGCGGAATGTATAGCCCTATAGTTCATAGTATGTATAGCTGTATTTGCGGTATGGTTCTAATTTTCAGAAATGTGTTGAGCACTTGCTAGCACAGTTATATCCAAGATCAAAGCTGAGCCTTTGGCTTGTGACTAAAGTAGGATTCAGTCTTTGTAGCTCAGGAGCTTCCTGAGCTGATGGCGTGTCAAGATGGCAGGAAAACGCAGTGGATAATGGTTAGAGTGTTATATTAAAGGTATTTTTTTATTTGGTATACTGTGAGCAATACGGTAATTGGTGACTTACAAAGACATTGTGAAGAAAATAACACCATTCACTATGCAAGACCTCTTTGAAGAAAGGGCTTTGATGATTCCAGTGGGATGGAAAGGGGGTGGTTAATGTTTAGTCTACTGCTTTATCTCCTTTGAAGAAGAATAAATTACCAGTTTTCAACATAGAGGAATTTTTACAGGGGTATATACTAAGCATAGCTATTGCTTGATGTAATGAATAGTCATAACTGGGTGAACAAGGTGAAAGATGACTGAAAATAGCACAAATCATTTGGCTTTGTTAAGAGAAAAAAAGGTGACGGAACTGTTAATAACAAAATGAAAGAATAGCATAATGGGAGGTGAAATTCAGTAGTGATGGATACTCTTTATACTGGCAGTAGTCGTTTGAAAGTTAGTAAGTAGGGCTGAGTTCTATTTATTAATAACCAAGGCGAAGCTATAGTAAATGAAAATGCATGTAAGATAACTAGAACTGTATTATGCAATTAACCTGTCTAACACGATGCCACAAAATATTCTTTAACTCTGAAATCTAGGAGGAATCAAGAAAGGCTCAATAATGAGTACCTAATCCAGTTACATGTTTCAGAGAACCTTCATGTCCACTTCTATCCTATAGAGTGCCTAGAGTGAACTGCAGACTTAGAAGGGATGGTGTTTCCATAGATGGGTGTTTTATACTTCAGTGCCTCATAAAAATACTCACAATTTTCTGAGATTGTGCAATGCTCAAGTTGTTGAGCTGATCCAGTGTAATAATTTTAAGTCAGATGCAACAAAACCTACCTCTATTCATATTGATATGTAGGTAATCGGTAAGATATTTTGATTGTTTTGAGCAGTGCTGTCAAATATATTTGAATAGGTTAATGATGAGAGATAAAACAAACTTGAAAAAATTACAAAATGAGTAGCAAAAAAATGCACAAATAAATTAATTTACGAATACAATAAGAAAATGATAGTAAAGAAATGGTCCTATGTAAGGATGTTTGTATTTTCTCTCCAAATTAAAATAAGAAACTTGTGAGACAGTAATTATTTGTGTATACATATGTCTTATAGTTTTCAGTTACTAGAAGGATCCTGTGCCTAATTGAATCACTGTAGAGTATTTTAGGAGGTATAAAATTATGTTGTCCAACTCCTGAATAATTAGTAGGGTAGAACAATTCTGCATGTTATTTTTCTGCTTTCATAGTTCTCTTCATGTAGAATGTATTCTTCATGTCATGTCGTTTCCCCAGTTACAAATTGACTATGTTTTCCCATCCTGACTGAAATGCATCTTGATCACTAACTTCATGCTTTTTTGCTATGTTTTGTTTTCCAGTTCAAGAGAATGCTGAACCGGGAGCTAACCCACCTATCTGAAATGAGCAGATCAGGCAACCAGGTCTCAGAATATATATCAAACACTTTCTTAGGTAAGACTATAAGGGAAGTTAATATTTTGTCCCTTTTTCTTTTTTTTTTTCTTTTTTTGTTTAAATATCTGGGCTGGGGTAGAGCTTAAAAGCAAGTAGCTTTCCATATTAATTTCTCTTTTCAGAGACTGTGTTTCATTGTTCAGTGTTTGAGCAGAAAGATCATATTAGATCCATTTCCCTACAGCTCAATTAGTTTGTGTATGTGGTTTCTCTGTGTGTGTAATTAGATAAATATTCAGATACGTATTTTCATTTTACAGCTACTATATTGATACTGCATTAAGAAATGAATTTATAATGATTTAATTATATATTTAAAAGAATTCTTCCACTCTGTTTCCCTTATGGAAGTTACTGCAAAGAGGTTTCAGTGTGCTGGAAGCACACAAGCACAAGTAACCTCATAAAATCTTGTAGCACTCAGTTCTGATGCTTTGGTGTTCCATGCTTGCCCATAAACAGGTAGATAAATATGACTAAGTCAACATCTGAACAGACTGCTGCCAGGAGAATCTGTGTGGCTCATGAGCATTTAGAAAGTACATCTAAATTAGGATAACAAGTACTTTAAAAAGTGTCAGTCATACATGTTAAGATACATCATGTTTATTTATCTCCTTATTTTTGTGTTTTTTTTCTCTTAATAAGAAGTTATTTTAAAGTGCATTTTACCCCCTGCTTGTTACTGTATCCTAAATGGATCACTTACTGTGTCTGTTGAATTTACCCATGACTGCAGTAGCATGCCTGAGCACTGTGGCACAGCAGGGTTTCAGACAATAAGGAAGGGGTTAGCCTCCATCATGGAGAACCACTATTGCGCACTTTCAGGAATCCTGAAAGTCACAGTGTACAGCTGCCTTAGAAGATGACACACTTAAGCTGGAAAGCCTGAGATACCAGTTTCTGCTTGCCTTTGCTTGAAAGCTTAAGGCTTATTTTGACATGGTAATGAAATGCATCTGTCAGCCTTTCACATGAGACATCAGCCTTGAGCAGAAAAAGGCCCGGAAGGCAGTCACTTCTAAGTTACTGAGCTATGGGTACTGTTTTGAGGCTATGTGAAAAAACTAGGATACTTAGAATGGTAGGTACAAGAGGAGTACAATGTGGAAAAACACCTCATCTACGGAGTTATTGTTTAAATAGATTATTTTCAATATATGCAAAGTACGTAAGTTCTGAGCCACAATGTGAAGAGGGAAAACATTCTTTCCATAGAAAACTGTAGAGTCAAGTTAGCTATTTTTTTAAATACATAATTTATCTCCTGAACATCTACAGACTTGCTAACATTTGGAAGTTAGTAACATATTATGAGAAAACAGGTTTTTCTGTTCTTCAAAAAAACCCCACAACCCAACTGTTTTCCCAAGTAGGGGGCTATATGACATGTATGAAGTTATTAATAATGACAACAAATATATTCCTTGTGTAAGAACTAAGGATCCTACACTGACTATAATAATATATAAGTTTTTTTTTCAGGTAATTAATCTGTTTTCCTATGAATGGCAAATGTAAGAGAACCTTCCAATGAGCATAGCGCAACTGGGGTCAAAATGGCAAGCTGTCTTTCCTAGATGTTCAGACGGGTGAACAGTCCTTTCCCCTCTGTGCTCATAGTTACAAAAGCAGAGGCAGTCCCATGGAATTCCTCTGGAGATCTAAAGTCATTCAGACAGACACTTCCTTTCACTTGAGTTGGTCTGACAGCTCAGCTTATGAACCTCCCTTTGATGGGCCTAAACTTTGTGAATATGACTGAAACCATAAACATCAAAGCATGAACACGAGTCACTGATCCTCATCTGCTGGCCGTTTGCACCAGCCAAGAGCTGCAGCACTCCGCCTCCCCCTTTTCTTGATTGTCTGTACGAGGAGAGCTTGGTGGGGGCAATCAGGAAACTTAGTGCTGCAGGCTAAAGCTTGATGACATTTCCGCAGTCTCTTGTTCACTGTGATTTCTTTGGAATTGGAGTGCCCAGTAAATGAGACTGCTGAAGGGTAATTTAAAAAAAAAAAAAAAAAGGTGGAAAAAAAGAAAACGTGAAGAAGCAAAGACAATAGCAGTCTGGTAATTAGGGATGGACTTGCTACCTTTGTCTGGTTTCAGTGTCTTTATTAAAAATTAGTATTTGCAGGAGGAAAAAATAGACATGTTTTAAAGACACCAATTTCTTTTTTTTTTTTTTTTTAAGATGTACTCCTTTTGGTCTAAGGTATTTTTTTTTAAGTCTTAGTTTTTTCTAGGCTTCTACATTAGAAACATCTTTTCTGGATTTTCCTGTTTTTTTTCTAGACTATTTCCTGAGGACCAGAAAAGATGCTGATGCATCTCAGCAAAGAAGAGATCGTTTGGAGGGAGTCATTAAAACTTTTATGTTGAAATGTAGTATGAATAAGAATCAAAATTAATGCAAATTCCTAGGAGGTTTGGCAGGAGAGTCCTTTGTTGCACTCTTCTGGGTTTCTTTGGGGACTACAGATATCTGCAGTGGTCTGTACCCCTGTACTGTTTCTGCAGCAAACAGCAGGCAATTCCCTAAACATTCTAAATGTATTCTCAGTTTAATCCTTGTCTAAAGTTTTGCTGGCACGTACATTGATGAGGTGTATGGAGTGGTGCTGCTGACACTGCTATGGAAGCAAAAGCTCACAGCAATTGCACTGGGTTTTAGGGAAGCAGTCCTTTTGTTGTTGTTACTTACTCTGGCTGGGAGGTGAAGAAATGCACTGTGCTGCTGGCGCAAACTGCATCTGCATGCAGAGTGCTTGTACATGTGGCTGGCAAAAGGCTTTCCAAGCTGTATAGTCTTAGCACAATCAGGACCAGTCCCCAAATATTGGGTCCTTTGAGTCCTGAAGAAGTTTTCTAAAGGTTTACATGAAATACTGTTTTCATTGGTTTTGAAATAGGTCTGCAGAGAATATTTTTCCTGGAAAAGAAAACATTTTGAATCTCCTTGCAAAACGGGTACTTAGGTTTCTGTTCAGTTGCAGTAACATTTTTATCATGAAAAGTTTGACCCTCTCTACAGTGCTAGGGGGGATACAGGAGAAGTGGAAATCAGCCAATTTAAAGCCAGTTCAGAAATAATGAAGCAATTAATGAAATTGAGATCTGCTTTTACTGAGGTATAGGTCTTGTTTATCTGTTCATGGTTTTACTGCTCTTGATGTGAAATACCTGTTGCAAAATCTCCAAACATAAAAAAAGTTTTCGTAAGAATTAAAATATCCATAAGATACAACTCAGTGGTGAATTCAGACATATTTGTAATTGCTTTAAATATTATTATTTGTCATTCTTTAAGACAAACAACATGAAGTTGAAATCCCATCTCCGGCACAGAAGGAGAAAGAGAAAAAGAAGAGGCCGATGTCCCAGATCAGTGGAGTCAAAAAGCTCATGCACAGCACCAGCCTAACTAATTCTAGTATTCCCCGATTTGGAGTTAAAACAGATCATGAAGAGGGTCTTGCCAAGGTAGAGAATATATAAAACCTTGAATTTAAATGGCTGAATTAAAATGGAGGGTGAACTTGTCAGTATTATTCTATCCTCTGCTTATAACCATTGATTTCTACCTGTAGCACCAAAGGTCTTACTTGAAGTAATATAAATTGGGTGAAGTGGAATAATAATAAGTAAAATCAGAATTAGGCCATAAAGGTTAATTTCCACATGAACAGAATTACATCTGGAATGTAAGTTAGCATTTGTGTATGCATTATTAAAGCTGCTTATTCATAATAATAGCTGAAGAATGAAGAGTAAAACCACCACGTACTGTTACAGGAATGAAAATACATGGTAGGCCCATGTTTTTTGAAAAGGCACAACTGGTGTATAGAATTAAAGCTATTCTTAAAGGTCTGGTCTTTAGCTGTATTTTTCTGTTCATTATTTGGTTTTTATCGGTTTTATTTTTAGTGACATTCCCTGTGACTTTTGCACCAGCAGCTAAGTAGTTGGCAGTAATCTAAAACTGGCATAAAGTGATTATTCATTTAATTTTAAAACATTTTGGAATATGCCTATCCCTGTATTTTCAGGAATCTCACCTTTATTTGAAGGGTGTTTCTGAGAACCAGGGAGGCAGCAGCAGAACCGCATCTTCCTCTCTGAACTCTGTTGTCACTGGCCAGTGAGATAGCAAAGTGTGTCAGTTCAGCTCACTCAAAATAGTGTGGTGTTTTTCCTCCTGATACAATCCACTTACGAGTCAGTCTTGCCTGTGAATTAAAAGCTGAAAAGTTAGTAGCTGTGGGTTCCAGTATTACAAAATTAGTAGCATCAGCTTTTCCTCCTATCCAAGCTTTAGCATATGACTTCCACAGTAATAAGGTCTGAATATTTATGAGTCTGCTGTTTGTAGCTGCTTCAATCAAAAATCATTCGAATCTGTGTTACGTTTCAACGTGTTTGTTGCTTGATTGTGCCCTAGGAACTAGAAGATGTGAATAAATGGGGCCTCCAGGTTTTCAGAGTAGCTGAGTTATCTGGAAACAGACCTTTGACAGTCATCATGCATACGATTTTTCAGGCAAGTAGCAGATGTGCTGCTTTTTGCTTATCTCAGTGATTTTCCTGTTCTTTGAAATCTTAATTGTCTCTCTTTTTCTAGGAACGGGACTTGCTAAAAACATTTAAGATTCCAGTGGACACTTTAATAACTTACTTAATGACCCTGGAAGACCATTACCATTCAGATGTGGCATATCACAACAACATACATGCTGCAGATGTTGTTCAGTCAACCCATGTCCTGCTGTCAACGCCAGCATTAGAGGTAAACTATGTTGAAGTGGGAAAGAGGCAGACATGAGAAAAAGGGACATACTGAGACTGTTCTAAACTAAATATTATAGATCTTAGTTTCTGCAATGTTTTTTTTTCAAAATCTTAACACTTTGTCATGAATTCTGTTCTCTTAAAGGTATTTACATCCTGTTCTGTCATTATTTCCCATGGGGGATTCTCACTAACCACAGTTAGTAGATTTCTCATGAAAGATAGTGTTAAAATGGGATTCCCTCAATACAGGGATCTATAGTACAGATTGAAAACACTTTTTTCATTGATTAGTGATTGCCATTTATGTTTCATGATTTTCTAGGCAGTGTTCACTGATTTGGAGATTCTTGCAGCCATTTTTGCAAGTGCGATACATGATGTAGATCATCCCGGGGTTTCAAACCAGTTTCTTATCAACACAAGTAAGTTTGATGTCCATTGATTTTTCTCAAAAATTTGCTGCAAGATCTGCACATAGCGCCTAAAAAATACATAGTTCAGTCCTTGTTTGCTGCTGTTACTTTACTAGTAAATAGATACATGTTTGTATTTTAAACTGGATATTATTTTCATTTTTTGTAACTTTATGAAGGATTAACATAGTACACTACAACAAGAATTACTAAGATATGAACTATAAGCCTGGGTCTGTTCCAGTGTATTGGATGTGCTCTCTCCTGGAAATTAGTTGGCTTACATTAAATCATAGAATCATAGAATAGTTAGGGTTGGAAAGGACCTTAAGATCATCTAATTCCAACCCCCCTGTCATGGGCAGGGGCACCTCACACTAAATCATGTCACGCAAGGCTCTGTCCAGCCTGGCCTTGAACACCACCAGGGTTGGAGCATTCACAGCTTCCCTTGGCAACTCATTCCAGTGCCTCACCACCCTTACAGTAAAGAACTTCTTCCTCATATCCAATGTAAACTTCCTGTGTTTTAAGTTTTAACCCGTTACCCCTTGTCCTATCACTTCAGTCTGTAATGAAGAGTTCCTCCCCAGCATCCTTATAGGCCCCCTTCAGATACTGGAAGGCTGCTATGAGGTCTCCATTCAGCCTTCTTCATGCAGCATGACCTTTTTATGTTGAGGACACCAGAACTGCACACAGTGCTCCAAACTCTACTCTCTTCTCGTGAGGTCTCACAAGAGCAGAGGGGCAGGATCACCTCCTTCGACCTGCTGGTCACATTCCTTTTGATGCAGGCCAGCACACAGTTGGGTTTTTGGGCTGTGAGTGCACACTGAAGCTGGCTCATGTGAAATTTCTCATCAGCCAACACCCCCAAGTCCTTCTCCACAGGGCTGCTCTGAATCTCTTCTCTGCCCAACCTGTAGATGTGCCTGGGATTGCTCCAACCCAGGTGTAGGACCTTGCACGTGACATGGTTAAACTTCATGAAGTTGCCATCAGCCCACCTCACAAGCATGTTAAGGCCCCTCTGGATGGCATTCCTTCCCTCCAGTGTATCAACCGAACCACACAGCTTGGTGTCATCAGCAAACTTGCTGAGGGCGCACTCAATCCCACTGTCCATGTCAGCAACAAAGATGTTGAACAAGACCGGTCCCAACACCAATCCCTGAGGGACACAACTTGTCACTGGTCTCCAGCTGGACATTGAGCCATTGACCACAACTCTTTGCGTGTGGCCATCCAGCCAGTTCTTTATCCACTGAGTGGTCCACCTATCAAATTGATGTCTCTCCAATTTAGAGATGAAGATGTCATGTGGGTCAGTGTCAAATGCTTTGCACACAGGAGAGAAATGGGAGAAAAATGCGGGGCAATTAAATAAAAATCCAAAAAGGAAGACAACAGTTTGCGTTTATATTGGAATTATATAATACAGCCAAGGATAGCCATACATTTTTGAGAAATTCAGAAGCAAGCAGACTGGCAGATGCATCTCTGTCTCTCCCTGGCTGCTGTACTTAGTTTCTGATGTCTACATACTCATGCGTTGTGGACTGAATTTTCTCAGCCTGTCCCTGCAAACTTATTTTTTAATTTTTATTCTTTTGTGAGTCTCTTGCTGGCACTCTGTATGTGCAGGGAAAAAGCCCTAATGAAATGAGACCCTAATGTCATCTCTGAAGTTGAAAACCAGTGTACTTGTTCTGCATTCCTCAAGGCTGTTCTCTGCAGCATTACAGGAACCTCCCTACCTCTTTAATCTTCTATTAGAAGAAAACGCTTATAGCTTCATTGAACCTGGCCATGGCACACTGAAGGGCTTCTTGCCCCAGTGCAACCTGCTTTGGTTGCAATGGTGTATATTACTAGTGTAAGTGGGTAACACATTGTAGGTCAGTGTTCTGTCATATGATGTTACTTTTGCTGTCTGACAACTTCTCCTTTTATAACTGACCCAGAATTAAAAAAGTTGAATACTAACAATCCAAGCACATAAGAAGAAAAAACTACAGAAATGGAAGCATACCTAGGGTTGTGTATTTGGCCCATCTGGTTGCACATTCTTAGATACTGTTATTTCAGCACTTGGGTGAATCTATTGCCCTGGTCCTAAAATAACATGACCTGAATCAGTGGTATAGTTTGAAGGGAGCTCCTCTTCTGACTCATTGCTGCTCTACGTTCAAATAAGATCTTTACTCCAGTTTAGCTGGCATCTAATTTTATTTCCCTTAACGGCCTAAGGGCCACCCTATAGTGAAATTCGATTTGATGACTCACCTGCATGGAGAAGGCTTGGGATTGACTTTAGATTTCTTGGTAACCAGTACAGTTCAACAGCATTGTCTAGGAAGAGAGGTGAATCAAGCCTTGTGCATGAAAGTGTGTAATACCTAAATGTTTGAGTAAAGTTTTATTTGTTTAATCACAGATTGAATACTGGGATATATTGGTGGCTCTGAGGTGCTGTGAGGAAACAGCAGAGCTTTTTAAGTTTAAGCAGGATGACCGACTATTGGAAGGAACAAGTAGTGGTACATAAAGCTTTCACTTCTATGAAGACAGTTGAACTTCAGCTATGTTAGGGATGATTCTGATGCAACTCATTTAATGCCTTAGAAGAAATGCCTTGTTTTTCTCAATTCAGCTTTTGATAGAGAAGGCTTCTGGGTCAATCAGGTAACATCACTAACTGGAACTGCTGTTGCCAGGCTGAAAGACAAAGGGATTTTATCCCTTTTGAGTCCTGTGTGCAAGGAGGAAACTGTAGGGACACCAATAAAGACCACCTAGGTCTCTTAAATGATAGATTTCCTAACTTGTAGAAGATAATTTGCTTCCACTGAGTTTTGTTTTCCAGTGAACCACACAATGTATTGATGTTTCATTAAGAATATGTTTTTAGAAAGCATGAAAGACTTACAGGTACTTTAAAGTATGTAAATTTTGTCCTATTTCTGCTTATTTTTTATAATTGCTTGCATGTGATTTCTGAATATTATTTCCCTATTTAAGGATTTAGTCTGTTACGCAATTGTCTGAAAAGCTGATCTCTCTTGAATGGTATTAAAGAATAAACAAAGATATTAGTGTCAGAGGTGATGCTTATATGATCAGTGTGACTCTGACCTTCCAGACAAATACTCTTGAAAAGCTTGTAATGTGTTACAGAGATTACTGAGGGGGAATTTTCTTTGATTTTCACCTCCATTACAAGGTTGGGCACATTTTAGCTCTTGACTGTAGCTCCAGCTCTTCCAAAGTATTTTGGCAGTGTCTAGTGTTTTGCAGTTGGGGCTCATCAGAAGGCTGTTTGAGAGGAAAATAAACTGGTGTCTGACATATTTGTAAGTAGGCAAGCTTTGTAAATGTTCTGTGAAAAATGAAAGATCATTTGACAAATTCACTTTCTTTTTCCTTTTGCTGTTATGGTTTTGCTGCCATCAGGATAAGGAAAGGTAGAGGAAAGGTTTCCTGATTCAAAAGATCGATCTAAGACAGCAGGAGAATGGATAATGAGACTAATGAAATCTGAAGAGTAGAGCTTTTAGAGGCACCCCATTGAGCCAGAGGGATTTTAAAACAAAGCTGTTGAAGAAGAGGACAAAGAGTAGAATAGACTGACATATGGCTAGATTTAGAATAGAACAGCTGTAATAAATAGAAATTAGTTTCACATATGACAAGTGTGATTACATTGAAAGTATTTGGTTTCTATGGCAGATTCATTTGCAAGCTGTGTTTTAAAACATGTAAGCTGACATTTTGGTATCCCTGGGTATAAACCAAAGCTGTGCAGAAAGTTGTTGTAGCTGCTTTTATTTGTTAGAGCTAGATCTTCAGCAGGTCTAGAAGACCAATGCAGACCTTCTCTGTGTGCCTAGAGTAAGCATTGCTAGGAAGATGTATGTTATTCTCATAACATCCTGAGTTAAGAATACTCCATTGGAGAAGACAGCATTACAGTGTCTTGTGCTGACCACACTCAAATATGTGGCAGTAGGCAAGGCCACTACTTGCATTTTCAAGCTACACGACCTTCCAAGAAAAAGACAAAAAGCATAGCTGTTACCATCCTACCAACCTCCTCTCAAAATATCCAGTTGTCATGGACTGATGACCCATTGGCTTAATCAGTGAGGCATCTGAGTGCCCTCGCTAACTGCAGAAAAATGTGGTTTGAAAACCTAGATGCGTGCTCTGTGGCTGACCTGCAGCAAGGCCTTAGCTGTGTATTTCTGGGTCTGCGTGCTGGATAGCTGCAACTTGTCTTAAACAATGGAATTTTAGTAGTTGGGGTGGAGAAAGGCATGAGAAGAGAAAACTTCAGTATCTGTTTTAGTTCAGGTGTAGTTAAGCATATATTTTCCATGTGACCTCATGCAGATATAAAAATGCATTCTGAAAAATACCTTCCTTGTATTTTTTATTGGTACTCCAGACATGTATACATGCTTCACTGCAAAGAGTTTTCTCTATTTTCCTCAAAGTACTTTGCCTTTATTTGTTGAGATGTTCAGTTACTAATCTGTAAGTTTTGATACTGTGTGAACTACAAGAACTCTGTTTCTAAAAGTTCTTCTGTAAATCTTTATGAATGTAATAAATTTGAAAAATCTTAAGGGGCTGCAGCGAAGCACAGACTATAGTAACTTTCTGCCCTGCAACTGTTATTGCAGATTCTGAACTCGCCTTGATGTACAATGACTCATCGGTACTGGAGAATCATCACTTAGCTGTGGGCTTCAAGCTGCTGCAGGAAGAAAATTGTGACATTTTCCAGAATTTGAGCAAAAAACAGAGGCAATCATTGAGGAAAATGGTCATTGACATTGTGAGTTCTGTTTGAGAGTCCCTCTTGCATAGTGCTAGCAAATTGAATAAAGCACAGAAGCTTTTATGACAAATTGCATGTCATTAGACCCATAGCCAATCGAGTAAAAGTTTGAAGTTATATATTGTCTTATCCTAACATGAATAGTGTGTTCTCTTTTCAGTTTCAACAACTATCTATACCTTTTCAGAAAGTACACTATCCTCCTTCAAGCTGATTTTGTTCTGACATGTGTACGCTTTCACCACCACAGAAATTTACTGCTGATCTGATGATGAATTTAGGCTGATCACATCATTCTGAACAATCATATTGTCGTATTGTTGAAATAACCAAAATGAAAACTTACTGTTTTCAACACTGGTGACATACATGGCTCACTTTTATAGTCTATGAAGACACAGGAAATATGGGTTCACCCCAGAACTGTTTAAGTGTTTAAAGATATTTTTAAAAATCAGTAATTTATGTAATGTTTATTTGTTTTTTTCCTTCAAGGTACTTGCAACAGACATGTCTAAGCATATGAATCTGTTGGCTGATTTAAAAACCATGGTTGAAACCAAAAAAGTGACCAGTTCTGGTGTCCTACTTCTTGATAACTATTCAGACAGAATTCAGGTAAGAAAGTTCACCTGCAAATGGTCACTTATATCAGTTTACATCCTCAGTTAACATTGGCCTGCCCATTCTCCAGCATGGATTAGATCAGCTGTCTTTTCTTACACCATGACTCTCTGTACTCCCTTTGACAGTGACTCCTCCCTGTAGTGTGTCTCTGAGAGAGTAATGAGGTACTAGAGTAATTCTGGACTAAATGAAGCTTTGGCCTTCTATTCAAATTATTGGCACCTGACTGGTTGTTTTCTCAAAGATTTTCTGTGCCTTATACAGGCAGAAGCAACAGAAATGAGGTCATTCGTGACTATTACTGCAAGTGTGAAAAATAGCTAAATACCCAAGTTTTTGCTGTTTAGAATAAATATTGCACTACATATATTTTGAAGATTCTGTTTCACAGGCACCAAAAGTGTAAATGGAGCTGTTTCTTTTTTCAGTGTAATAACACCACAGTGTTCAATCTTTTTTAGGTTCTTCAGAATATGGTGCACTGTGCAGATCTAAGCAATCCAACTAAGCCACTTGATCTCTACCGCCAATGGACAGACAGAATTATGGAGGAATTTTTTCGGCAAGGAGATCGGGAAAGAGAGAGGGGAATGGAGATAAGTCCCATGTGTGATAAGCACAATGCATCTGTAGAAAAATCACAGGTAATTGGTTTGAGTAGGTAGTTAAATAACACAGTATGACATTTTAACAGAAAATCATGATCTGTAGCCTTGTTTTGATTGATTTCTGAATGCACTATTTCCTTTTTTTCTTCCTAGTAAATTAATTCAGCTCCTGAATAGTAAGAAAGGGGAGCTGAGATTTTTTTACTATGAAAATATAATGCATCACAGTGCCCTTGCTGAAGAGATTCCATCACTGTCATAAGTCAAATGTAGTATACATGTCAAAAGACTGTTGTACAGCCACTCATTAGGATTTCCTTCAGAAACAGAATTAAATACAAAACAGTTTGGCTCAGTAAATGCAGTGGAGTTGTTTGGAATGAACAGTTCATTTGAGAGCAAATGCTTTCCAAGTCCTTTTCCAATATCCTGAATCAGACTTTTGAATGTGAAATGTAAATGTAAAATGTAAAGGTAAATGTAAAAGACCCTATTTACTATGTAAAACCAGCATGATTTCCTTTCAGCCACCTTAGGGTAGCGTATCTAGTGTGCCTTACTAGTGCTGTATTTCTCATATTTTATGTGATTTAAAAGCATGGTTGTGAATAAGAGCTTATCCTCATTTTGTATTATTTGAAACAGGTGGGTTTTATAGACTATATTGTTCATCCTCTGTGGGAGACATGGGCAGATCTTGTTCACCCAGATGCCCAGGAAATCTTAGATACACTGGAGGACAATCGAGAATGGTACCAGAGCACAATCCCTCAAAGTCCTTCTCCTGCAGCTGATGACCAGGAAGAGAGTAAGCAGACTCAAACTGAAAAATTCCAGTTTGAACTAACACTGGAGGAAGATGGTGAGTCAGACACAGAAAAGGACAGTGGAAGTCAAGTAGAAGAAGACACCAGCTGCAGTGACTCCAAGACTCTTTGCACCCAGGATTCAGAATCCACTGAAATTCCTCTTGATGAGCAAGTAGGGGAAGAAGTAGAAGAGGAGGAGAACCAGACAGAACCTTGTGTGGTAGAAGACCATACTCCTAACACGTAGCAAGGAGGATGCAGTCTCTTTCTCTCTTGCTCTCTCCCTTCTCTTTTCTTTTCTTTCTCTTTTTATTTTCATTTTTCTCTTTTTATTTTTTTTTTAATTGGGTAATGGATTTTGGAATGTCATCAGTAGCCTATGTCATATGACATAGACTACAATCGTAGTCACAACTCAGTGTCATCTCCAGGGATGTTTGTTGATCAAAACTGATGTTGATGATTCAGTTTGGCACTCAGGAATATTGAAAAAGAAATTTTCACCTGCATGGCATCAGAAAGCAGGGGTGGGAACATCCATAAACTACATCTTCATAAGCTCTCCATTTGTCAGGTAGGATTAAATAAAGCAAATGTTTTCAGAGGAGTAGCAGCTGTCGACCGAATGCTAATATGCTTTGATAATTTTTGAATTCAAGCAAAGCATTGGATGTTTGTCATGAAAGGAAACAGACAAAAATAAACTGAGGTTCCTACTGGAAAACAAATGTCATAAATAACGAGACACAACATGATTCTGTTACCAACAGGAAGATGAGCTATGAAAATTGCAAAATTTTAATTTTGTGATTTTCAATCTTCCTGATTGTGATTGAAAAAAGTGTGCCCAGTGGGTTGCACTAACCTCTGCATTTTGTATATTATGTAGAAGAGAGGCCTTTTGTAGAGCTTTTATTATTAATTATACTGAGGTATTATATTTAAAGAAAAACACTTTCAGACTTCATCTGCCACTTTTTTGTTGTTGTTGTTTGTTTTGTTTTGTTGGGCTTCTTTTGGTTTCTTTTTTGGTTTCATTTTTGTTTGTTTTGGTTTTGTTTTTTTTTCACAAAGAGTAACTTGCGAGTTTTCAGTACAAATCTGTGCTACACTGGATAATACTTTTTCTCCTTTCCTTATATTTTTTGCACCTTAGAATCTCATGGTAATATTCAGCTGTAAAAGTATTTTATATATTAGTGAATTCCATTAATATCCTTTGTTACATAAAACTTTTGCAGGATGATAGTTTGTTTTGTGTGTTTGCTTTTCATCACAATTTTCCCAAATGTATTACAGGAACTTATGTTTTGATTTTGCCCTTGTAGTGGCCTGATCCTGCCAATTCTGTCTTATTACAACAAGTGGTCCCACCAAAACCATGTTGAACCACTAAGACTAGGATTTGCAGGACTAGAGCTCTAGTCCTGCAGTTAAGGACTTAGAAAAGAAAGGTAATGAATTGTCATCTTAATAAAAAAGCAGTTCTACTGCTGTAAAATTTTTCTCCCTCCGAAAAGTGATTACCAGACTGTTTTTGGCTGGGATCTGTAGACTGCTAAATCAGAACAGGCTAATATAATGTATGGGATATTTATTTTGGCAAAAAAAAAGCATTAGTGTAATATTTCAAATTTTGTTTCGTTCTTGACTTCTTATGTGTTAATAATCTAGTAAACCATTTGCTAATCTGTGTATAACATAATAGTAATGATAGCATTATTTTTTCATGTCTGTCTTGCAAGAAGAGCCAGGTCAGTCTTGTCTTTTTATGTTTTGAAATAATGAGTAATGCATCAGGAGAGTTGTTTACTCCACATTATTTCAATCTCAGACCTTTTCATCCTTTACCCAGCTTGTGCTGGGAATCCTGCTTTTCAGTTTGGTGGGTACTGAAAGCTTCTGTAACTTGAAAAGTTAAAGAGAGGTAGGAGTTCATATTTGTCATTTCCAGTCTTGTTATTTCCTCTGCTTGCAGGTTTGAACATATAAGATGGGAAATAGTAGCTTAGGGAAGCTAGCAGACTCCTACTCTTTAAAATTTTTGTAACATGTTAATGTGAAGATGATTTCTTAACAAAAGAAGATAGCAACAGCCATTATTTCTCCTTTGGATTCATTTTGTAATAAGTTAGCAGATATGAATATGGGGGAAGGGCAGTTAAGTGTCTGAGATCTAGAATAAAAGTGATTGGTTAATAATTTAGTTTTTAAATGTATTTTGCATTCTTCTATATCCAGGTCATAGTTTTTTTAGCCCTCACAGGGCTTTAGCACAGAAGATACTGAAGGAGGAAAGAGAATATAGAGAACTCATGCTTTTTTTCTCAGTTTTTGACTTTTCTCCATCATTTCTTCCTAAACCTGATCCATTTAAAAGTCCTTTCAGTCCCCAAGAGTGCCTGGAACCTTAATAATGGAAAAGCAATATGAATTCTGAAATACCAATAGGGTTTTTTTGAAGACGTTTTGTATCTGCACTAATTGAAAGTAAATGAAGAGAATGACATTATATTGTGAGAAATGCATCCATGTATACGGACAATCGGAGAAAAGATAACGTTTCTTAGAACTGGGGATATAATGCATTGTACAATCTTTTTCCTCTTTTGCCAAAGTGTGTTTTAGCATTGTACACTGCTTTAAAACAAACCAATTTACAAGTGGCTTTATGTGTTTTGAATATTTTTGCCATAAAAAAAAATGCAGTGAGTAGCTATTGAATGTGTGTGTGGGAAGAAAATTCACCTTGCTTGTAACAGTACACTTTAGCTTGCAAGTTACTGTACTTAATAATGCTGTATTTGAATTCTTAAATTGTTTTGTGTTATTAAAATGGTAATGAAAGAATATAAATAGAACAAATAGCATTCAGAAGTTTAAAACACTTGACTGAAATGGATTTTACAGAAAGCTTTGACAGTTCTTTCTAAACCCATTATTTATTTTATTTGTGCCATTGAGTTTTTCTCACCAAATGACCTTACCTGTAATACAGTCTTGTTTGTCTGTTTACAACCATGTATTTATTGTAATGTATATACTGTAATGTTAACTGTAAATTATCAGTTCTTACTATAACATCATCCTTCTCTGGATGGTGTTGCTATCTTTGGAAACTCTTGGCGAGAGAATGATGATTGTGTTATACATATTCCCTTTTTTTTGTTTGTTTCTTCTTAATATATTCAGTGTCACCTTAGAGCTTGTTTATGGAAGATTCAAGAAAAGTATAAAGTATGTAAAGATGTATTGATTAAAAAAGCTGCAGGTCTTTGGTCCCAGGGCTGTGCCTTAACTTTAAAAACTATTTTCCTTCTGTTTGCTGCATTTGAAAGTAAGGTAGCCATGGGGCTAGGGCTGGGCATTTCTACCATATTTTTAGTTCCTGACTGATGGTTACCTGTACAAGCTAATACGCATGATACTACAATGAGCTTTAATTCAAGAGCCTACTGGAAGTTCAAGGTTTTCCAGACACCTGGCAATGTGATTGTATTGCTTCTCCAATTATCCTTTTACAGCCTATCACTGGGGATAATTGCAGCCATTTTTTGCTCCTTAAAAAAAATAAAAATTGATGCTGTATTCGGTACTGAATTTCACAGAAACAGCTTTGGAAAGCATCTCTAATAAGCACTTGATTTTAATGTATAAGGGTATAACTCATACACTTTTACAATCATCTGTAATATCCCTTTTTATTCAGTAGCACAAATTATCACATATATACAGAATCCATAAAGCAGAACAAAAGACAGCTTTAATTTTCGGAATACTTTCCAACACCAATATTAGTGTTAAAACAGCCGAAGTTTTATTATATATAAATATATATATAAGGCTTTGTTCAGGTGTGTAGAGCATAATGCACTTAGATCTACAGGAGTGTGGTAAACCTTTATATCTTTCAATAACACTAGAATTAAGTTTGCGGGTTGGACTGAGCATCTTTTGCTGTTTGTTTGACTTGTCATGTTGCTCCAGAGTACTTGGAGCTGATGACTTCGTCAGAGTGAGGTTAACACCTCTCCTCCATTCCAGCGATGCCCAGCCCTTGTAGCATGCAACTTCTCTGGGAAAGGAAAAAGTCTTTTTCAGTGAAAAACAAAGCCTCCCTTTGGACACAAACTGTAGATTTTAGCAGCCCTGGCCCAAAGGAAATTGATTGCTTATGTTTATAATGGTATAAAATGGATACTGCAACAACAGAAGTCCTGAACAATTTTTTTTTTTTTTTTTGTTACTCTTAAAATTTCATTCTTCTTTGGGGATGTCTTGAGAGTGGCAACTTGTGTGAACATTGCACATGACTATTCTTTCACTCGTTTCTTAGCCTCTCTACTGCATAGGGGATAGTAATGTACATCAGTACCTTCATATGAAATTTTATATGCAATGGAAATAAAAGCATGGTTTGATTCTGCCTAGTTACTTTATCGATTTTTCTTTTGCAAGTGAAATATTTTTACATACATTGCATAGTTGTGACATCTGAAGAGATAGCATATTTCCAGAATAATTGTCATCATACTGTTTTGCATAGATAATACAAAATAAATGTAGGGGCAAATCAGCAAAGTCAATTAAATGTAGTATTTCATAAAGAAGTCTGATCCATAAAGCTGCTGTATAGTTATATAGAAAGGCATACGGTCTCAGTTTTCATGAAATTTTACCATTGTCTTCAGTGGCAAAAGCAGACTATCCTGAGAGAATAAAACTTCAGGTTTAAAGAAATTGAAAGAGTACAGATTGCCTAGAGGAGCAATACTCTGGGGTACCAAAAAAAACCCCACCAGTACCATAGTTAAATATTGACTAAACAACCTTGGTTCTAAGTAAGTTGGTGATAAATTATTTTTTAAAATAAAGTTAATAAATTATAGTTGTCTTGAGCAAGAAAGTGGTCTTAATGCAGGTCCAGCTGCTGAAGTGAGTTTCATGCACGTCTCCTTGTGAGAGGAGTGAGGGTTTTGTTGTTTGTTTGCTTAACTGAAAATAGTTTCTGATTGAATACAAAAAAGGTTATGTCAGTTTTTTCCTCAAGCTGCTTAGAGCCTTGTTTTGATTTGGAGTTAGTTTGCAAGGAATACCCATCCTTAGAACCCCTTTTTAATCACACCGTGGTGGCAGAAGAGGCTGATGAATGCTTTGCTGGGCACAGGAAGGCAGATAAACTGGGTAGTGCCTGTCACTCTTGGCAGGCTCATCCTCACGTATTCCCAGCAGACCTAATGGGAAAATGGTTTACATACATCATGGCTATTATAAAGGGAAGCAGAAATCTCAGATTTGTGTTGGCAGTACTACAACCTTTTCAGTAAGCAGCTCAGGTACCACAGCTGCGCACATGGTAAGCCTGAAACTGGCAAGATTAACTCACTGCTTCCTACATCCTCAGGCAGCAGTCTTTGTGCATGGCAAAAATGCGTCAGAATCGGCAAGTTTCAGAGCAAAGCCAAAATGAATCCTGTGTTTCACTGCAGCCAGATGCTGCTCTAGGAATTGAATGCATTTTTGAACAAATGACTCCTCTATTTCCTAATGAGACAAATAGTCTAAATAGCTGGAGTTTCTTTTGTTTTCAATGCAGCAGAGAGATCAAGCAAAAGTCACAGCTGCTAGGACATGCCGTGTTCACTGAAATGACCAGCCCAGTTTCTCTACCAGCTGAGAATAATTCTGCTTAATTTCCCAGGAAAAAAAGAAAAAAAAAAAAAATTGCTCAGAGGTGTTGTAAAAGCCTTAAAAGCCTTTAGTTAGTTCAGTTGAGTTCAGCTTGCAGGGTGAAGAAAATACCCAGGTTCCTCCTGTCAAACTAGTTGAGCTGTCTGCAGAGACAATAAAGGGGGATAGGAAGTCCGGTCAGAAATCAGTGACAAATTGGGAACAAAACCTGGGCAGAGGGAAATAACCTCCAACTAAAATAACATTAAAGGCAGCCCTGGGCCTGGAGTTTGATTCTGTCTCATTTCATAAGGTACAAAGCTATAATTTTTTTTTGCCTTCTCACAAAGCAAATATTTTTAGGTCTTTGGAGTTACTGTGGTAGGAAGAACTATGTATGTATTTAAGGTGGACGTTCAGAAAGTAAAAAAAATTTTTGATACAATGCAGAGTTTAGCACAGCTTTCAACACTAAAAGTATGTGATGATCATCTCTGCTAAACAAGAAGCAGGATGAGTTCATAACTTGGTAAACAGGCCTGAGGGAGAGGGAGAAGATGGAGGACCTGTGGCCCCCAGCAGCATTAACTCTCTAGTGCTGGTAAGCTGTGCAGCAGCAATGCAGATCACACACTCAGCAGTCATGTTACACAGTTACCTCCAAATACTGAACTTCTCACTGCCACCAACCGTTTACTGTGTCCTCTCCCAGCATCCATGGAGTTTTGATGCCTACAGTATCAATATTTATACTCATTGTCATTGGAGACCATTTTTTATCTGAAGAAGCTGGAAAAGAAAGCACAGGTTATGCAGCACATAGTAATCAAAGTACAGCTGGCACATGTTGCACGCATGTAGGACTTGGCTTATGGCAAATGCCAATAAGCCATCATTACATGGAGCTAGGCAGAGTCAAAGGTGGCTTAAAAACTTCAGTCCCTTCTGGTGGTTGAAACTTCCCATGAAACTAATACTCCAAATCTCTTATGAACTTCGGTTTTCAAAACTTTGACTGACTGAAGTGTTGAACAGACTAAGAACTGTGCATAGCCCATCACATTCTCAGCCTATGGTTAGTGGCTTGCATTGACTGTCCCAGCCGTGGCTAGGGGTAGACCTCCTAAACTGTGGTGTTGGTTTGAATGCTGCTACAAAGCCTGTTTGATACAGGGGATCGCTTAAGTGCAGAGACGTGCCCCTCTGATGAAAAGAGCAGGACTAGCTGATGTAGAGATACCTTTAAAATCCAGCTGACTGCAGATCTCCTGGGT